TGATGGATGGTTCCAGGATGGAGGGTGATGTTATCAGCTACCCTGGTTTTTAAGAAACATGGTTACTCCAGAAAGCAGGATTTGTTTGTGAATGTATCAATCTCCTTGGAGCAAATGAAAGAAGTCTTGTGAAATCAGCTCCCAAACAACCCATGTTTCTCAGGAATGGCCTGAACATCTGATAATAAAGTCTACATCTGATATTGCTGTCTACAGAAATGCCACATCTAAGGATCTCCATCATGTAAGAGAGTAGGACAACACAAGAGTGGAATACAAATCCCTTGGAGACAGGGAGGGATACATGGAAACAGCACTATCAAGACTATTTTAAGAATGATACAAACTGGTAGAAGAGAAGGTCAGTACTTCCCTCATCTTTTCCCTGTTAGCTGTTTACACAGGTTAGAAAGTTTACTCCTCCACTCTGTAACGTGGACATCAAGAAGAATCTCTCATCAGTGCCAAAGAAAGAACCTGAATTTTCAGTGCTGATGGTGATGCTGATGAAGGCAACAGCACATTTCACTGGAGCTGCTCAAGCCAGATGGTTTGACCCAGAGGCTTAGCACTGCTGAGTCCTACTCAGGAGGAAAAAAGCCAAGACATGAAGTTTCAACCCTGAGATTCCTTTACAGAAAAGCTGAACAGAGAAAATAACCCAAAGATGCCAAATGAAGTGCAGCTGGTTGAGAGAAGGCCCAGAAGAACTGACAGCACCTGCAATCAGCTGCTTGTCCTTCCCTGTCCTAGCCCTGGATCACTGGAAGTCCCCCTAGGTACTAGTGATTCCTGTTCTGAGACAGTGATAGAAAGTTCATGATTTTGAAGCATTAGGAAGTCAGCAAAGGTCCATGACAGGAAAAAAAGCTAGAATTTACGTTTGATTTTGGCCTAAATTTAATAAGCAAAAGGAATAAAATGTTATCAGCCCATTAAGACAATCTAAAGAAATCACCACGATAATCAGAACCAGCATACTCAGATTATACCAAAATATAATATGCCAACAAATCAGAAAATTAAACACTCCCTATTACAGCTTGAAAGTTGCAATTACAAGTTTTTCTTCCAACTAGAGGAACACATCCCAGTCTAGAAGTAATGTAAGCTTTTGTTATCTGGGGTGCACGCGTGTCTAAGGGGTGGGGTACAAGCTCAGGAATTCAAACCTCTACAGCCCAAAAATCAAGATACCTTCATTAACAAGCTCACATACTAGAGCAACCAAGCACAGTAAAAAATTCACAGTCTTCTCATCAAGAAGAGAAGAGAAAACAGACATACTACAAATACTGTACCTCTTCAAGGTGTTCACATGCCAGCAATGAGAACAGTGTTCAGTGTCTAAATAAAATAATTTGATTTGCTGGGAATATCTGTTATAGAATACATTTATTCTGCCAAAATAACAGAAGGAAAAGTGAGAGAGAAACAGAAGAAAAGGTTTACCAATAACTCACCAGCAGCAAACTCTACTCGACATTAGAAGCTATTTTGTAATTGCAAGTACCAGGACAAAAGAAGCTGCACAATCCACTGGCTACAGACCTCAGACTACAAACAGTAATGATCCTTTCTTACTTGTTTTGCAGTTTGTTGGAGTCTGCACAGTGCATTGTTCATCAGCTGAATTTCCAAGGAAATCAAAATGAGGACAGTTTAGTGTAAGCTTCAGAAGTTGCAATACTCGGCTTTGCTGCTGTTGGTTCTGAAGGGTTAAAGGTTCTGCCAAGAGCTAAGGAGAAAAGAAATCTCATTAAGTCACCTGCACAGAACATGCTTTAAAAATAATTATGAACAGGAAAATGTTTGGATATAAAGCTGCAAAGTGCAGAGCAAGAGAACACATACTGAGAGAAAAATAAATCCTTCAACATTAAAAGATGGAGTATTTCCTTAAAGGCAAGGGGAAAATCATTATTACCACCTCAGAGACATCTTCCATGTCAAGCTGAAGCTCACAGACTTATAAATAATTTTTAAAAGCCTGGTGAAATAATCCCTTTGCATAAAATACATCTAGGTAAAACTCAGCATGTCACTGACACTGTTTGGTAAAACAGTGCTAACTTTCACTGCAAACTGCAAGGTTTCAGTGTTTTCAGTTCCTCCAGACCAGCATGGAGTCCTGTACATCTGTGCACATCCATGGAGTGCTGAACCTCCATGTCCTGTACATCATATGAGTAAAAAGTACCTCAACAACTGGTTATTTTTCAGTGTGATGCCCAGGCTGCTGAACAGTATGAGTTTCAAAGTCTGCATAGTCACGCTGCTCCTTTGGAAGTCCAGGAAGACCTGGCTTTAAAAAACAATGAACTGGGCAGTCTGTAATCTAATTACAGCTCTGTACAAATATACACCTGTATAAATAGAGCTGTCAGGGGCTCTGCTGCTTTATAACCCCCGTGGTGTCAGGAAGAAAAGGTACTTCACAAGAAAAGCAGCCTGTTCATAATGCATACTCTAAATCATGTAAGTAAGAACATTTTATTGATCCACTTCTGTAGCAAGAGCAATTTAAATAACGTTTATCTTGAAAGAAATTACTACCTCAAGATTACAGTATAATGACACTGAAAGCATTAATCATTATTCACTGACACAGTTTGTGAACATTAGAGGGAAAACTGGCATGATTTCGTCTAGAAAAGAAATAAAGTAAATGCAAATGCAACAACTTTCTCTAGTTCATCTGCTCCTTATTTAGATTCAAAATCACATCTCAAGTTTATTAACAACTTTTTTAATTCAGATGATAGAAATTCATAGCAACTGTATGCCATTAGATGCCTCATTAACTTGGTAACAACTGTTCCATCATGTTAGAATTGATACTAGACTATGAATTCAGCTTTGAAATTTGAATTTCTGCATGTCTTGTATAGGAACCACCTGTTCTGCCATCAGTCCTCTCTAACCTTTAAACTCTTGGAATAATTTTTGTGATTCCACCTTTGTAGTTGAGTGTAACACAGACACTGAAATTTTTCCAAAACCAGCTTCCTATACTAAAGTTGGCATTATAATTTCTTTATATTTCTACCTGGAAATCCCTGTGATGTCATCCAGACAAACTTTTCAACATATGAGATATTCAAGCACCTGCAGACCAGATGAACTTGAAGAAAGCTGGTAAGTGGCTACAGGGTTCCCACACATCCATTTAATGTGTAAAGGGATTTACTTTATCTAAAAAGACTGTTCAAAAGTATCCAATTCTTCTTTTAAATTACACATGATTTCTCCATTAACATGCAATTCCAACACTGATTTAAAACATCCTGCACAGGGTAGCAGAGCACTGCCTCTCGAGAGATGAGGGCTCACACATTATTATTTCTGCAACAATTAATTCTGTACCAAAAAAATCCACTGCCTGTCACCTGAGCACTGGTAGCTGACCACGTGTCCCTTAAAGTCACGGCAAATGTGGGGTAAAACACTCTACTTAGACCAAAAACATGCTGTGAAAGAAGTTTAAGCTGACACAGTTGATCTCATTTTTCACAGTAGTACCACAATCACATATCTCAACCTTCAGAATTCCACCTTGGACCAAAAAGAAATCACTGCCATTATCTGCTGACCCACTGTGATGGCTCCTGCTTTTAAATTCTAGCCTAAACACCTGTGCCCAAATTTCAACACCTAATTAATTTGGTTTTCAGAAAAAAACTGAATAAACAAGCACTCCCAAGTAATTCAAAGAATAGAAATCATGTAACATTTAAAAAAGAAGTTGCTCTCAAAAGCAGAGATACGTGAACTTAAGAGAAGTAGAATGATACCTCATGGTGCCACTTCCACTGCTGTGGAAGGTTTTGGATCAGCACAGAATCATTCCAGCTCTGATCTCAGCTGCTCTTCACCACCTCCTGTCCAGGCTCCTGAGAGGCTTCAATTACCCCAAAATGTTGTAGAGAGGATGAGGGAACTGGTGAAGGAGAAAAATGTCTCGGCCTGATTTGACTGCACTGCCTTACCCCAGGAATTTCTCTTTCTTTTTGGTTGCTTCCAGTTCAAGGAATTAATTCTTTTAGCAAATACTGAGATAGTAGGACCCAGCAAAACACAGAAAGAAGATAAGCCCAGAATTGACATAGTTCCACCTTTATGGCAAGATATAAAAACAGAGACACAGCACAGACAGATTGAGACAGCAAGAGAGACATGGAAGGAAGAAGATAGGAATTTTTGTCTTTGAATCTTTTTTGGTCAGTTGAGCTTAATTGGGTGTCATGTAATCCATTTAAGTACAGAATTCATCAAGCCAGAAAATACTAAGGGACAATAATGATGTTAACAATTTAGGTTCAATTATAAAAAGCATCACTTCCTTCAAAAGAGAGCACACAAGCATTCCTGCTCTTTGGCAGAGTTACACTCGTTTGTACAACTCTGAAGATCATCTGGCATTCAACTAATGAAACGTCTGACTACTGACCAAGGGGCCTAACTTTTCACTGTCATCTGCTTTGCATCATCACTTGCACCAAAGCAAATCAGAGGAGGCAATTTAGGGGAGCTCTCAGCAAAAGTAACATCTGCCCTATCTGCCTTCACCAAGATTAAACATCCTACACTGTAATTTGGACACAACTTTCCAATTCTTAAATTAGTCCACAGATCATGCAAACATGTAAAAATAGAAAATGCAGCCTGCCTTTTCTCACACACGTGAAAAGCTGTGTGATGAATTACGAAGGAGCTGGGAAAAGAACTGCTAATCCCTTTTTCAGTATTAAATCACACTCAAATTCACACTGGATGAACCTCAATCCAAAATGCTAATGCATATGTATTTGAAACTACCATAGGCTAATTATTAACATATCTAATATTGTTTAGGGATTATTTCTTCAATTTTTGTATAAAACTTAATTCACTAGATCTATGGCTTAATTTTCTTTTCCAGAGAAATTCTTAATTTAACTAAAGAAATCTCTTAAGAAGCTAAATTTTGTATTTAAATCTCTGTTTTTAATGAGCTGCACACTGAAGAGTCACACTGCAATCATTTTAATAATAAATGCAAATTCCAATTACAGTACATTCATAAAAATAACTGCAAAATGGTAGAGAAGTATACTTGAGTTTGTTTTTAATAAGCAGATTATTGCAACTTATCTTTTATTAGGCATTCCCAAAGTAACTCAAAAAGTACATTAACTCAAACAGTATTATAAACAAAGTAAGACTGAAAAGCAAAGGAGAAACTCATTATCAAGAAACAAAACCTGTTAACTTCGTGTTTTCTTGCTGAATTACCAGGATCACCACCACATACACGGATAATGGATGATCCTGGAAGGAAATTGCCAAATAGCTTAAATTTTCCCATCTACTTTTGTCAGCAGAAGTTCTGGGCTTGATGTTCACACAGACAGGGATCAGAAATGCATCTCCACAGCAGCTGAAAAAAAATGAAGGCATTAAACAGAACGGCCTGACAACAGGGGCTGCTAATTTACAACCACCCTACAAAAGAATGCTTGGAAAAAGAAAACTAAGAAAAAACCACCACAGCACCACGAATAATGTGAGGCATCAAACTCCCCAAAGGCGCCAACCCCACCCTGGTTCTTCACTGCAGCGTGATCTTCTGCTTTAAGCAATGCTTTTTACACTTCTGCCATCCAAGCATCAAACCAAGCGACATAAATGAAGAGGTCCAAACAAAACAAAACAAAAATAAAAAGGCAGAAGTAAAAAAATTGTTTCCTACCTGCAAATTTTTTTTTTTTACATCAGCAATAATGTCTCTGAAGATAGGCCCATCTTTTAGTACATCAAACCATCCTAGTTTTGTAACTTCAGCAACGATTTGAATAAGAGCTTGGATGATTAAAGGACCCAGTTTGGGTTGAAAAGCTACACAGCTCAGAATGTAATTTCCTGTAACAAAGCATTCTAAAATCAGCAGTGCAAGTCTTCTGTAAAGAAAATGAGCCAAATAGTTCTAATAGAAACTTAAGCCAGGGATTAAAAAAAAAAAAAGAATTCTTATAGTTAGTACAATATCTGTAAGCTCTGTTAAATCATTAAATCCAGCTGAACATTTAGTAACACAAAATACATTACATACATGATCATTATTCTAGGACACATGACAACAGTTTTTTAATTCAGAGAACACTGGCAGGTAAAACACTAAGTATTCATCACAATCCCATACACTGGGCACTGCTTATTTCAATACATAACAGCAGCTCTCACAGCCAACTCAAAATACACACAAGTTTTCACAGACAAGTGTCCCTACTGAATGTTCTCAATTCAATCCAGAACATCCCATGGAATGGGAAATGCACACTGCAGTTGTGGGAACTCTGCTCTAACTAAAAGGAAGTTAAGCTGTTTCAAAAGCTGTTAAAATGTATAAAATTCAAGTTTATTAAAGTTAATTTTTACCTAGAAGAACACTAAAAACTTTCATCAGAAGCAGCAGGTTCTCAGCCCTGTTTCAGGGTACTGCTGTCCACAGAAGTAACACAACAGTGCAGATTTTCTAAAAGCCCAAACTGAATCATAAGTTTCTCATGCAAGGCCTTTTCACTTTTAAAGACCTAACACATACTTGCTCATTCTTTTTGGATATAGCAATGGCTTTAACATAGATCCTAAAAAGTAAGGAAAACAATGTAGGCTCTTATTCCTCCAAGTCAGAACCTGCCCTGGCATGACTTTTACAAATATTAAGAGCTGAACATGAGCAACGTGACGTGAGTGATTAGAGGGTGTATCAGAAATATCTGCAACTTTTATCCTTTACAAACATGAGCTGAATCTCTTTAGCATCTTATGGGATGAATACAAAGTACACTTTGAAAAAACGAATGTTTTTTTAAAATATTAAGTCATCTGGCCAGGCATTTAATTTTGAAAATACGAAATGTTATTTGTGAGTTAATTGCAGAGAAATTATGGAAGATGTCGCAATCGAACCTTTATGTTCACTCTCACACAATAAAACAAAGCAAAACAAAACAAAACAAACACCTTATGAAAACCAGGCTTGGTTAATGGAGAGTACAACTGAAGGAACAACCAGACTAACCACTCAGTGGTAACTGTGCTTACATGGAGTTTCAGCTCCAACTCATAGAATGACATTTTAACAACAAACATTACTCACAAATGTCAATTCTTTGTTCAACAGGCAGTGGGGACAAGTGCTGACAAGCTCAGGCAGGCATGATAAATGATAAATAATGAATAAATCATTTTGTTAAGTGTACCAAAACTTTATAAAAGGTGTATTTTAGTGCTATCTTTGTTTCATTGTAACTAAACATAAATAACAAAATAGTGATAAAAAAGCTGAGACCTGTAACTTCCATCCCTTTTGATGGGATGATACCTGTTTCATAGCTAGAAACCAGAACAAAATGAGAACCAGCAGATTATACCACACTGTGTCCCAACACTGCTCTACAGATGACACAACCTCTGATTATAGCCCTTCTGAGAGTACTGAGAGCTGAGATCCTTTCCCCTCTTGTGCCTGACCTCTCTGGTGCAGGGTATAGTCACTTCCACAAGGACCAGCTTCAAATGAAAAAAAATTCTAGAATCATTCAGGTAAAAAAAGAGAAAAGCATTTTGCCTGTATTGTCATTTGGCTTTATTGCTCTGCCCTAATAGTGGCCCATGACTGAGAAATCTACGTGAGCTTCTACGAGCAGAATTGCCTTCATGGACAGCACACCTCCCATTTACCATTCCTTGTTCCCACAGCAGCTGGCATTGGCTGAGACATTCAGGGCTATCAATAAACCCTGGCAGGACCTTCTCAGCTTGTGTTTGCTGGGCTGGATCAGTTCCTGCAGACAGGTGCTTACAGAGCACTTCTACTTCTGCCAGGCTCTCTTAAGGGAACAACACGACTGAAACTCCCACGAAGACTTTTCAGTCACGTTAAGATTCCTTTGTTTATAATTTTAGATACTATAGCAGAAACGTGAACTGTTACCTATGCTCAGCTTTCCACTTGTTTCACAATTAAATTACAAAAAAAAAAAAATTAGGAGGCTTTCTGTGACAAGCTGGAAATTAAACTGCCATTTCTTCTCTCAGCTACCAAAGTATTTTTTACTATGATTCAATCCATCTGTTGTTCTGGGCCTTCAGATGGGATGCCCAAAGAGAAATGAAACGATGGAAAATTGTCAAGTTTGAGCTATGTCACTTGGAAAACTTCTGGTAAATTTAATTTTAAAACCACTAAAACTCATCAAATTACCACATCCAGAAAAAATTAGCTTTGTATGCATCTGTTGATGCAAATATCACTAAAAAATGGGGCAATTTAGAAGCTGTAATAGCAGGAGAAGAGTTAAAACTCCTCTCTGCTTAGGAGCTGAAAAAGTTCTCTTTGCTAGAGGTGTGTGTGTGAAACCCCTCCCTCCTGTGTGAGGAATATGATTTGTATCTATGAGTCACTGTCTCACAAGAGAGATGAACCCTTTGAGTACCTTTAGGAACCATTACACAAACAGAAGTTTTAGCATCCATCAGGTCCCCAAAGCCCAGGTAACTCTCCTGAAGTGGCCACATCATTAGAAGGTACCTGGCAAGTACTTCATGATTTGAGTGTGGCCTAGAAAGAAAAGAGAGCACACAGTATTTCACCAATCTCATTTAGAAGTTTGAGTCAAAATCCTGTTCACCAGACCTTCCAAACATATGTTTTGCCCTTTAAATAAAAGACTGGATTGCAGCACAATCCACCTCACAGATACTGTAGCTCAAATGTCTTTTAAAATTCCAAGACAGTGTCTTTGGCAACCAAAATACATTTGGTTTTGTCAATCAAAGCATGTAATTTCCTTGAGACATCAAAAAAAGATCATGGTCTTTCCCCCACTTTTGCTGTGCACAGGGAGTCCCTGGGTTTGATCTGCACCTTTTGTGTTTCAGTGATGATGGCATTTTAGGAGTCCCTGATTTTCAGACAAAAAGTAGACGTGTACTTGTTCCTTTGGGGAAGTTTTAAGAAACAGTACATTCATTTGCTCCTTGAGTGAACAGATCGAGTACCTCAAAGGCTGAGCTCAACAGAGACCTCTTTTGCTTTTGTTTTTCCCTCTCCTACACTGAGAGAGAGTAAAGGAAAAATAAGGAACAGGCAACAATCCCAGTAATGCAATTTTAAATGAAGTAAGATCCATACCAATTAAAGCTCATTAAGGCTCATAAAATGCAAGCATATACATTAGGGAAAATACAACATAAACCCCACATAATTGGGGCAAAACTTGTAAATAAGGACATCTAGCAAAGATGGGTCTTCAGACATAACTACAATGCATCGTTCCATGATGGAACAAACCCAATACAAACTAAGAAGCACAAACCAAATTATCATGTCAGAGTCAGCAAAAACCCCTCTTATATTTGATTAGAAATTTGACTTTCGAGTCAGGACAAATTTGGCAAAAAGTTTGAGAAAGTACAGAATAAAACTGTACTTTCAGCCCAATCAGCAAGGTTGAAATCACTGTATGATAACTGACATTGAAACAGCAAATCATTTATAATAAGCTGGCTAAATAAAATCATTTATACACAAAGAATTCACAGTGGATTTCAGGAACATAAGCACTTTAATGCACAGTGTTAATTTGTTAAGGTTACACCAAAATGTAGAAATTTAGGGTAAGGATGACTTCTTGTTGACGAGTTAGAACTATGAAGGACAGATAAAAAAAGTAAGGCCTGAACAAAAACGAGACAACGACATTCAAAGAAAAGCTCTTTTACTGGATATTGAGACTGATGATGTGCAGACCTTTGAGATACTTTATTTGGACGTATTTGTTCTCAGGAGAATGTTATGACAAAGCTTCTTATTGACAGGCTGGAGGCATGGCCAGAAAGTGCTCAGAATTCTCAGAGTGCTTGTGATGTTCTCTGGGTTACATTTTAAGCGTAGTACTGAAGAAATGTGCTGCTTTTCCTTGATTCTAATAGCAAAACCAAAAAAAATACAACTTGAAATCAGCAAATACAACCACCTTGTGTGTGATGGCAACCCAGCTGAGCAACAGAGGTGTTATTTAACTTTATTCAGAAAAAAATAATCAGAGAAAACAATGAGAAGTCAAAAACGAGCTCTCTCTAGATTAGAGAGGTATTTTCTCTAAGGAAACATGAGACTGTCACAATACCTTCTTTAATATGAGACACAACATGAGACTGATGCCCTCAGATACCTCACTTACTCAAAGCCTGATCTACAGCTGAAAGGTGATTCCTTGAGAAAACAACCATCAGTGGAGACAATCCAGCTATCAGATGCTGGCTGCTTTAAGTGAGATGGGAGTAGAAACAGACCTGAATAAGAAGTGGCATTTTTGATCACAAAGAACTGGAACTTTTTCCAACAAACAGATTCACATCCTAATAAAAAAGACTCTATGATTTTGTCACCTTTTTGTAACACTCATGAATATGCTGAATAAAGTTCTCTGGATACTTCTAGTCCCACCTCTCCAGCTCCCCGAAGTCCCTGGCAACTCTCCTGTGGAAGAACCAAAGGGCAGAAATGCTGGGGGCCTGGCCCCGTAGCGACTCCCAGGCAGCTCAGGAGCCAAGCAAACTGGCAGGAAACCAGGTAGGCTCCTAATCGGACTTTTGCTGACACTGACAAAGTCTCCTGGATGTTTTGATTGTAAGCAGCACTTGCTGACTGAAAACACTCTAGGAAGAAAGAGTTCCACCAGGTCTATGCAAGAGCAACATGATGCACATAACAGAATAGCCACAGTTTAAAAAAAAAAAAAAAAAAAAGAGAGTATATTTTAGAGGTCCTTTTCTGTGCCGTGCCTGGTACCCAAGTATTTAAATAAATGCCTGAAATGGCCTCTCTAACAGTGCCAGAGCCTGCTGTCACCAGTGCAGCGAAGCCGCGAGAGATGATGGGCACACGCCTGACCACCGCAGTAAGTGTCTCCCGAGACACCTTCCCGCCTTCCCTTTCCTTCCTCCCTTGTTTGAGGGCAGTTTCAGTGGCTGGTGTTCATCCTGGAGCGCGGCTGCCTCTGGATTTCGGCGAGGATGCGGCGCAGGAGCCCCGCGGCGCCTTCGGAGCGCGCTGGCACCGGGGAGCAGATGCGGCTGCTTCGGCGGAGCCGCCGCACCCCAGAGCGGCTCCCGCGGAGCGATGGCAGCACCAGCCCGCCCGCCGGCCCCGCACGGGTGTCCCGCTGCCCCCGCCCGCCCTCAGCCCAGCCGGGACGGCCGCGGCTCCGCGGGCAGGGCTGCCCTCGGCACCAATCGCTCCCGGCTCTCCGCATCCCGCGGCCCCTGCTCCGCTCGGCCAGCGAGCCGCAGCCCCCCGCACCGCCCGAGGGCTCCACCGCCTCCCTCAGCAGGCTCTGCCCGCCCCCAGGGCAGCCCCTCGGCGGCCCCGGCCCCGGCCCCGCACAGCCCGGGCGCTCCGACGACCGGGCGAGGTCCCGCCGGCCCCGCCGGGCGCACCGACCTGGACGCGCAGCGCCATCCTCCCGAGCCGCGGGGCGGGGGGACCGGCAGGGGAGCGGCAGCGGCGGGGCCGGGCCGGGCGTGCAGGGGCGGGAGCGGGGCGTGGGGAGCCGGGCCGGGGCCGCCTCCCGCGGGGTCGTGCGGGTGTCGTGGCCGTACCGCGGTTCGCGGGTCCCGCGGGGTCCCGGTGGCCGAGCGGAGCCGTGGGTTTCGGTAGTCACCGCGCCGAAGGGCTGCCGCACTTCTGCATTTGGCTTTGCACGGTGCGGATTTACGCACAATTTCCACGGAGTTTACCCTCAGACTGTGAGAGATTATAAGGACATTCCCGTTTTACAACAGCAGTTCACAAATTGTATGGGATTCATTCAGTGTGGCATTAATTTCTTATGTTTAAATACAAATAGTCAATACATGGGCCAAGCCGTCACGGGGCTGCTCTGGCTATACTGAAAAGATGCAAACCAATGCCTGTGCTGCTGAGGCAGGTTTTGGACCAGGACAGCAGCCGGGAGTTGGATTCTCCTGTGGAAAGTGCAGGAAGAGTCCTGAGAGTGGAAAAACCGGGAATACCGCTTCAATCCAGCAGGGCAAATAGATGGTGCTCAGGCAGTTAAATCTGCATCTGAAGGAACAGATTGCACTGTAATCCCAGAAAGGGGGAAACCTCTTCTATAGGTGCCTATAAAGGATCAAAGAAATTAAATTTAGAGAATAGAGTTGTCTCATTTTCCAGCTGAATGAGATGAACCCCATTTTTGCTAACCATTGGAATTTAGATAATAGGTGGAGTCTGTGACAGCAAACATGATTAAATTACCCCAGACATTTTACTTCTTAAGTACTGCAAAGACTGACTGTGATCCAAGACATTCTCTTTCTAGAGTTAAAGGAATAATTCAGGGTTATTGGGGAAAACATGGCATGTAAATCAGTGCACAAGAAGCTCAGTGTGTCTCCCTGATGCTTCACCTACTTTGCAAATATTCCCATGTGAAGCTTGGTAGCCCCAAAGAAGAGGCCCCCTGTGGCAGAATGTCTCTGGAAATGGAAATTGCTTTAGACCTGGAATGAAAACATGAATTTGCTGGATTCATCTCTGGCAGCAAGGTTGAGTTATGACAATTTAATAGGGGAGTGGAAGAGTAATTTCTTTGTACATGAACTATCACAATTGAATCACTGAACCATACACTTTTGTACAAAATACCTTAATTAATCATTGGAGACTGAAGAAATGAGGTGAATAAGTTAAATAAATAGTTCAGGAGCAGAATCTGTGCATAGCACATGTACCCAAGTGTGAGTGAGAGCTGGGGTTTCTGCAGATTGAGCCAATTTCCAGCTTGTCTGGAGTGTTTCTTCCTAGCCAGCAAGTTGTTCCCCCCCAGCCTGGGTCTCCCTGTGGCAACAGCTGAGCACGGACAGAAGTGGAGAGCACAAAGCTTGTGCCAGGGACATTCAGCTCAGTGCAGCCCTGTGACTGCACCTTATTTAATCATCAGTTGAATCATTTTAATCTCTGAAATACAATTGCCTTTCTATATCCAATTGTCAACTGTAGCCTGATTATTTTTAGGGGAAAAAATTGGTCCGGTGGAGTTAGTGGATTCCTAGACTAATACCTGACAAAACTCCTGAGATTTACCACAGCAAGCAAGAATGTTAGATTGTGAAAGTCCCCCAGCCTATGTCAGGGTCCTAGCCCAAAGGACAAAGCTGCACTAAGTATCACAATTTCTTTAGCAACTTTTACAGAATTTCTTTACCTTTACATGGGACGGGGGATGACAGTAAAGATGCTTGTGTGACAGGAGGAAGCTGAGCCATGAAATTCAGACTTACTTCCATGGAAAATAACAAAATTCTTGCAGTGTTCAGTGGAAGCTCAATCAAACAAGGTTTTAGATCTGCCTCACAAGATACAGTAGCAGGACTAATGCACAGTCTTCAGCTCGTTTCCTGCTGGGTGGAATAAAACCAGCTTCTTGAACTTGCTCTTTGGGTTATCTGTTGCTACAGAAAATGCATTCACAGTTAGATCCGTTCATTTGCCATGCTGCTTAGGGAGGGCTGAACCTTCTCCATACTTTTTTAAATTTAATGGTAAATTACTTGATTAAAGCATGTAAACAAAACCAGCCATTTCTGTCTTCTCCCGTAAAAAAGGAACTAGGAATTGTTCAGTGTATTGGTGTTCCTTGGGTTTTTGCATCACACTGGGATTTTTCCCAAAATGCAGTTTTCTTACTGAAATGAATGACTTATGATTTACAACAATTTGTTAAATGAATTAAAAAAAAATACATTCAGAGAGAAATGCGACATATTTAATTTAGAATCCTTTGTTCTGGGAAGGTTAACTTTTCTTAAATAAACATAGTCCATCAGGCCAAGCACTCACAGACTGGTATTTGTTTTGGTTGTGCTGCACATTTTCTCATTCAAACATTCTTTTCTTTCTGTTTTTCATTTTACATTAACAACAGCAAAAGGCCCTGAAGAATTCTAATTTCTTTCTGTGGCTAATGATTTCAAGATTATTTTCTGTGCCCTGCACTAGGCTATGCCAATATATGTTGCCACAATTTAGTGATGATTTTAGTAATCAAATTCATTAATTTGCAATACTGGTCACAATTGATCTTGAATATATTAAAAAGTTCCATAAAAAATGATCAGTGGTTTCTACCAAATAATTTTATGTTCAAGTTAATATATAGTGGATAAGCAAAAGAAGTTACTAGACATATCACTAAGACCAGGAAGAGTCCATAAAAGCAAAATCAGTAATTAAATATGAAGCCATTTCACACTCTGAATTTAAACTAATTATTATTTTTCAGTGACACAATTACATGCTTTCTTCTCATAAGCTGACAATACTCTGTGAAGTCTGAAATGAAATAAATTATTCTTTTCTTGTTTACTACCTGGGCAAAGGTCAATAATACCTCAGGGCAAACACAGTCTATAGCCAATTTTCTAAAGTAGTTCAAATTGAAAGGAAAAATCTTTCTAATAGCAAAAAAGGCACAAATAGCACATTAAAGGAGGAATTTGTGATGCACTGTATATACATCAAAATTCTGCACGTGTATGCATACAACAGCATTGCCCCTGAAGCTTCCTCGTCACCATCAATTTAACTCATGGTACCTCGGTGTGTGTGCAGTAATCACTACATGGGTTTGTCCCTTGGATGAAGAAGAGTGCAGATACCAAGGCTTTCCATGCAGTTGCCTGAACTTCTTCTTCCTTAGTCCTGACTGTTGAGTAATTTACCACTGTTCATCTGCCCACAGCCGAAAGAAACCAGAGGCGTAAGTGCCCCCCAGAAGCAGGTTTCATAGTTGGTGTCTTCCATCACCCATTAGTTCAGAGCCAGCCTTCTAGTAAACAGTTAACAAAAGCAATTGGAGATATTTCTCACTCTACACTTGGACATATCGTGTTTCTGAACCTGCTTCCTTTGCTGTCTGGTCCCTGTGCATCAATTCGAACAACGTGCGTGTGCTCGGTGGGTTTCAGAAAGGACGATCCCTGCTTTGTGCAGCCATTTCCAGCAGCCCTGCAATGCTGGCTGTGCTTTAGTTGGGCATTTTATGGATGGGTCAGAGCAGGAGCCATTCGTTCACAGCAAAGGAACTCCTGTGGTGCAGATCTCTGTGTGTTTGAAGGGCAGGCACCGAGCTGCAGAGCCGCTGCTGCTGCCTTGAAACTGCAGTGATGCCACCAAACACCATCCTGCTCAGAGTGAAATAACAATCCCAAACTCTGAACCGCTCCCTGGGCTGGGGGAAGGAGAGGGAACCTCTCCCTGTGAGGAGACACACAGGAGCTGGTACAAAGAGGAGTTCAAAGGTGTGCTCAGCTGCTTGAACCCACGAGGGATCTTTTCTGGGCATATCTGAGTATTGCCAATAAAACAGCACTTGCTTGCTGTAGACTGGGATTTGTATCTATTAAAAGCAAACAAAATAATCCCCCCAAAGACAGATAATTCACCTTTGATGAGACTAATCGTGGAACATTTCAAATGAGAAGAAAATCTTGCTGAAACTTAAGAGAAAACAGGAACTAAGGAGATTAAAGACTAGTTTGCAACCTCCATACTTACTTATGCTTGTTGCCATGTGAATAATCTTTTGATATTTTGTAGTACATTATTGAAAAAAAGGAAATTGTTACAAGGTAAAAATTTTGTT